CTTGCCACTCACCACACCAGAGCTGTTAAAGATCTGGCGCACCTCATACTCCCTCCCGCAACTGACGTTTTTTAAGCACTATCTAGTTCGTAGGTTTAGTAGCCCAACAGGCTAGGAAAAAGCGGGTATCACTACCCGCTTTTCAAGGAAACTGGGTCGGGTATACCCGGACCCGCCAGGCGGGTATTAATTTACCCGCCCCCAAATCATGGGTCCGGGTATTGGTCTTGGGCATGTTACCCGACCGTACCCGACCCGAAAATACCCGACCCAAGTCGGGTATAGCAAACCGGGTCGGGTCGGGTAATACCCAGTTTTGCTCAAGCCTACCCCAGACCCCCGGCGGGTATTGTATTACCCCCCCCTAAGGCCCGGGCTCCGGGTAAGGGTCTTGGGCATATAACCCGACCCGGCCCGCCCCGAAAATACCCAACCCGAGGTCGGGTATTGCAAAACCGGGTCGGGTCGGGTAATTACCTGGTTTTGCTGAACCCTAAGCCAGACCATGTAGTCGGCTGACCACTGTCGAGGACGAGTGGATCTCGTGTACGAGCCAAATCGAGATTCACTTGTCTCAAGCGGAGTCAAGCCCTGACCCAGTAGTTTGCTCGACGGGCTCGTAATAAACACCGTGGACGACCCGAGAACCTGGTGGGCATCGTTCAGGATAACGGATCTCTCTGGCTTGGATCTGGCGGGTTAAATCCTTGCGAGCAAGCCAAAGGAGGCTTGCAAGCTAACTGACTCATGAAAAGTCGACCCAGCTCTGCTTGAGACTCACACGGTGCTGCCATTTTTACATGAGCCACAAGGCCGGCAGTTGCTCGACTCAGCTTGTGCTGACGCGAGGACGATATGAGCCAGGAAGGAGTGGGCCCTTGCCCATGTGTAAGATACACCACCTCACTTGGCTTGGATCGGAGGATGGAATGAAGTCCCCAAAACTGAGGGAACGTAGGTTACTGATCGAGACTTGAGAAAAAGACCCAGTCGGGTCCGGTATTCCCAACCCGACCTGAATTTCTCCCCAGCTCAGGTCGAAAGCCCGGTCCGACCGGGCCGGGTCGGGTGGACCTGTTGGGTCAACTCAAACCACGAACCGAATACACCCTAAACTGTCAGGTAACCTATGGACTGAAGGGTCAGGTCGATCAGACCCGAGGCAAGGTCATGATCGACCATTCCGCCCGTCAAAACTGCGCGCCCGGAGAATTTCGCCTGTCAGATCCGCGTGGATCTGAGGTTTCGCCTGCCAGATCCGCAGGGGCGAGCATTCCGCCCATCAGATCCACGCGGACGTTTCACCTCTTATCTGAGTGGCAGGTTGCCCCTGGGCGGGCCGGGTCGACCCGACCTGCCAGTAACCAGTTTGGTCCGACCACGTAAGAGGGAGAAGGAGATATTTGGGTTTACTGCCTCTTACACAATCTCCATCTGTGCCCTGTGGTTGGTACCTATTGCACCAAACAGAGCTGTTAAAAAGCGAGGGAAAAATGGCAGAGGAGAGAGGGCAAGAAAAGATTTCTTGACCTTCAGAATTCCCAAGGGGAACATGCTTCCTCGCTTTGATGGCTGTAGCTGCTCGTTTCGCTGCTCCTATATAGTAGCCTCTCCATAGCAGCATGCCAACCAGCAGCAGCAGCAATGAAGCCACAGCAGCCACAGCAATGCCAGCAATGGCTGCTGCTGACAGACCACCTCCAGATTCGGAGGTCGACGTTCCAGGTGAGGGGCGGGATGCCAAAGATGAGGAAGAAGGTGGTGGAGAATCAGTTATTGTAGATGGGGTGGTTGTGCCGGGCACTGGTGATGAGGCGGGGAGCACGGGAGGAGGCAAGGGGTGGGATGGACCATGAAAGGAAGGGGTTGAGACAAAACACCATACACGTTTGGTGGGAAGCAGAGTTAGTGCAGCAACAGTTCTGCCGATACTTTCAACTGACAAACTGTTCCTTAATGTATAGAAAAGGCCAATGCACAGAACCACATGCCGCGAAGACAAAAAATGGAAAGGAGGTCAGTCCAGAAACTCTTTGGCTCACGTGATGCTTGCTGGACACAGGTGGTGCAGAAAGAGGGGCACTCGCGGCAAAACGCGCTTTGAAGTTTTTGTTTTGTCACACATGGGGTGGAGTCAGAAGGGGCATGTCACTGCAGTTCCATTCAGATTCCTGGATGTGCAAAAAAAAAAAAATTGTTGTCCAAGAGAACAAATTGTCGATGCAATGGGACATAAGGACTACGCAACTGAGTTTCATAAACCTGTTGAATAGGAAAAGGAAAACCTTGCAATGTTGCCATAATATTGGGGGGGGGGGGGGGGGGGGGGGGGGGGGGGGGGGGGGGGGGGGGGGGGGGCGGGGAGGGGGAGGGGTTGTTGAGTAACATTGCTGTGGGAAAATAGGAAGCAACTCTACTCGTTCTTGTGATATTGTCATACAGCATCTGAGATAATGCTCACTACATGCTTACTACAGTATATGCTTCCTAGTGCTCATAGTTAACTAATCCTTTCACACACATGCTTACAAACCAACAGTTTCATGGCAACGCCTGCCCGCATACCTTCAGGCGTTCATACTCCCAATCTGGGATGTTGCTCTGCCAGCCAATTCATGCCGAGAATGGGCATGTGGGGTTTGGCTGCGGATTACATGTCATGTCAACGCAATGAAAATAACACTCACAGGTCACGAAGATTTGTGAGCTTGCCAATAGAAGCAGGAATTGTGCCCACCAAGCTATTGTTGCCTAGGTCTCTGATCAGAGACCAGTGAAGGGCACGGATAGAGAAAGAAGGGCATGAGAAGTGGAAAGAGAAGTGGAAATTGTACTTCTGGTGCAACAAATTCTTCCATGGCGTCACGATACCAATTCATCCATTAGCAGCCAGCTGAAATTCTGACCATATAGTTAGAGGAGGATGAGAACGAGTAGGGTGAGCCTGAACCAAGGAGAACAGTGGTTGCAGTGCAGTAGGCGAGACACAACGAAAAACGAAACTCACAAGCTACGAAGTTTTGTGAGCTTGTCAATGGAAGAAGGAAAACTGCCCGTCAAGGTATTGAAGCCAATGTTTCTAGATTATGAAGGGCATGGATTGGGCAAGAGAAGTAGGGAAAAGATAGATCATGGATGCGCGTTTAATATCTTGTGGTAAGCTTGAGTCGAGCTTATGACGAGCACACACGAGACTCAAACGAGCCTCATGTGAGACTCAAGAGTCTCAAAAGACACGCTCACTGAACGCTCGCTCCAGCCTCCTCAAGCAGGGCCCTCACATAGTCCCCCAGGAGCATCAGCGCTGACACGGCACCGCCAACGATGTCTACAGCTGCAGCCGAGTCTACGCTCGCCGATACTGTCCGCATCACGGCGAGCAGGCGCGGGTCCAACACGGTTCCCGAGGCGGGCACAGGCTGCACTCGCGTGGACACGACAGCCAGATCAGCTGCAGCCATCGCGCAGCGCTGGAGCGGATCGTGAGGCATCTTGCACGGGCTCACTGAGCTCCGTAGAACGGAGTGTGAGTCCGTCAGCATCTCCACAGCATACCCCATCGCCCTCTGCGCGTGCCAGAGCCGACGAAGCGTGGCGATTGGGATCGCAGTCTCCGCCAGCCGCTCCCTCCCCCGCAAGCGCTCCAGCTGCGCCCTCTGCGGCATCCGCAGCCCACCCGAGCGACGACGCCCCTGGTCCCCAGGAGGCGAGTCCTCGCCCGTGGACTCCGCTCCCCCCATCTCCGCTGCTTCTGCCCCCCCCTCAACTCCAGTCGGTGACGCCAGCGAACGGCGGGGGGGGACAAAGGGCGCTGTCGCCCGCTCGCCGAACGATGCCGGTGCCACCATCGGCGGTGGGCCACGGGACCATCCCGCCACCGACACATCCGGGGGCGTCGGCTGCCAGGGCGGCAGTATCTCCGCGGACCGCACGTCCATCCGACGCGGATCGAAGGGACCGGCCGAGGGGAGGACTGGCGGAGGGGGTGCGGAGGGAAGGGACGCCAAGAGGTGCTGGCTGTCAAGGAGCGGGAGAGATGTTACACTGCGGGGAGGGAATGGCGGCGTCGGTGCCTGAGGAAGGGGCAAACGCACGGGCGGCAAGTGCGCCTGCTGGTACTGCTGGGGCGCCAGAAGCTGCGGAGAATACGCCAGAGCCTGCTGGGGTTGGGCGACACTGCGGAACAAGCCCTCGAGAGTCGCCGCGGCCCGCCCTAGGCGCCTCTCCGCCGCGGACCCACGGTTACTCCCCCCGCCAGCCCTCCAGCCGACGCGCTGGCCCGAACGCCCGCGCGGCGCCTGCGGAGTCCGGCGCTGCTGCCCAGGCCCCGCCTGTGGGCGGCGCTGAGGCGTTCCTCGGCGGGCGGGATGCTGCTGGCGTGGTGACCGCTGCACCTCGCCACGCGCCACTGGTTCACGTCCAATCTCCACGGCGCGCTCGGGGGATTTCTCCTCGTGTCTCGGGGGCGCGGCAGTCCTGCCCCGCGACTGCCCCCGCATCCGCTCGGGAGTCTGTCGGCGAGCCGTCGAGGGGCCGAGGAGCCCGCGCTCCCAATCCCGGCTCGACGGCGCTGGAGGACTCGCCCGACCTTGGGGCGACTTGCTGTCCCCAGTACTCTCCAAATCGGCAGAACGCTCCCGCGCTGGTCGCTCCATCCCGAGGAGGCGCGCCGCACTCGGCACCCCCCACGACTCGGCACGAAAGCCGAACGATGACCAGGGCCGCCCCGAGAGGAAACCACGGAGGCGGTCGCGGAAGACTCAACGCACGGACGGCCGGAGGGCGCGGTCGCGGGGCGGCAAGGCGTGGCAATCTGTCCTCCGATGGAGGACCACTGAACGGATTCCAGCAGGCAGCGAATAGGGCTTTAAATGCCTCGGAACTGCAACGAACAACTGATGAGGAGGAACGGGCGGACGGAACTTATATACCAGGGGACCAGGGAGACCCCACGACTGCAACCTCCAGCGAGGAGGAAAACGTCGAAACAAACAGGCGCGCTGGAGGACGAGAGACTGACCCATCTCCCAGATCCAGGGGACGAGGGTCCAGCCGCTTGCACAATACTCGGGCACCGCTGGACACCCACCCCCAGGCAGCCCAGCAGTTGTCCCCGGAAGAACTGGCGAATGACCCCTCCAGATTCGCCGTCATCGCCACTTGGGACGTCGCAGTTCTCTGCGACAGTCGCCAACCCCCTCTCTCCCGCCGGTTACCCCCCCAAATCCGCCAACTTTTCGCGCTCGCCCTTCTGACACCTCTCCTTTTCCTCGCCAAACATCCAACCTCCATCGAGGGTTGGATCTTGTTCCTTTACCTCCCGCGCCTCACACTTCGCCTACCCTCGCCACGACGCCCTGACTGGCCCGCGACGGAACGACGACTTCGACAATTTCTCGCGGGCCAGTGGGACACACTGTATCAAGCAGCTGCCTCTGCTGTCACCCTGCCACCCCCTCCCCGCCACGTACCTGACACTCTCGGGAAAATATCCCGCGCCGAGGGCTTGGTACGACGAGGCAGTTTGCGACGGGCACTGCTCGCGTTGACTTCGACCCCAGTCAGCAAGTCCACCCCCACGGTCCTGGACGTGCTGAAGTCAAAACACCCCCCTCCGCTTGTCGAAAACCTCACCTGGCCACGGCTCGACGAAAACTGCAGGCCACCGACAGTCGATTTCGCTACGTTCGCGAAGCTGCTCTCTCGCTCCGAAAATGGAGTTGGGGCAGGCCCCTCGGGGATGACTTTCGAGCACCTTCGCGATGCCTCGCTGTCCAACCCCACCGTCGCCACAAATCTTCACCAGCTCGTCCACCGGTTACTCGCGGGTAACCTGCCGCACGAGGTCAGCCAACTCGGTACCTCCTCACGCCTCCTGGCCCTTACCAAGCCCGATGGGGGTACCCGCCCCATCGCAATAGGAGAATGTCTCCACCGGCTAGCAGCAAAATCCGCGCTAATCTCCGCCACGCATTCCGCGCAAGACTACTTCCTACCACACCAATACGGGGTGGCCATCAGAAGCGGCGGAGAAGCCATCATCCATGCCACCAGGGGCTTTACCTCAGCGCGCCCGGGCTCACTCATCCTACAAGTCGACCTTTCAAACGCCTTCAATAGCGTTGACCGCGCGGCCATCATCCACGCAATCAACACCTCGCCCCTGCGCCCGCTCCTCCCCTTCATACAATTCTCCTACGGAGCACCGTCCCTGCTCTACCTCGACGCTGAGTTCGACAGCCCACCCCTACTCAGCGCGCGGGGAGTTCGCCAAGGGGACCCAATGGGCCCCCTCCTCTTCGCAGCTGCCATCCACCCAGCGCTCCAGACAACCGCCGCGGCCCACCCCGAGGTCCTCTGCCTCGCGTACGCCGACGACATCACCTTCGTCGGCGATCCGGACGCCTGCACCTCGGCGTTCCTCAATTTCACAGCGGCCATGGACCGCATCGGTCTCTCCCACAACCCCGCGAAATGCGCGGCGTGGTCAGCCGAGCACCCTGCACCTGACCGCCTTCCCCCAGGCATACCTTTCAACACAGAAGGCGTCCGCGTGCTTGGCAGCTTTATAGGCACAGCCGAGGGCACAGCCGCATTCCTCCGCACCCAGCTAGCCCTGCTAGCCGAACCCCTCGCCACACTGGCCACCATGGACCCTCAGTCCTCATCCCTCCTCCTCACACGCTGCGTATCTCGGCGTGTCTCATACTTAATCCGCACCACCCCCCTTGACTTCCTACCCCTGGACGTCTGGTCCGACTGGGGTCGGGAGCTCTTCTATACCCTCCTGCGTGCCTGCAACCTCCAACCACCTCGGGGCGAGGTGGAGCGAGCGCGCACTTGGGATCAAGCGTCCCTCCCTCCCTCTCTTGGCGGACTGGGTCTAACCGACCCCGCAATTGAGGGATACCCAGCCTACCTCACCAGCCTCACCCAAGCCCAGGGCCTCTTGGCTGACCTCCCAGCAGCGTCAGGAGGGCCCCTGGCCGACGCTGTCCGGCACCTCACGCCACCTTTCACCAGCCCCACCCACTTGCATACCTGGCTGGCGAAGTGTGAAACGGCGATGCCCCCACGAGCCCGGGAGCTCCTGCACTCCGAGAGGACAGAACCCTCCGGCTCCCCACTCCAACACCGCTTATCCCTCGAAGTCCAGGCCGTGCGATACGCCGGCCAGGTGGCAGCCACGCGGACAATGGACCCAAACCCACTCTCTGGGCACACCCAACGCCTCTTTTCCCTGGCTGGATATGGAGCAGGGGACTGGCTTCATGCCATCCCCATCTTCCCATCCCTCCGCCTCGAAGCTCCACACTTCGCCATTGCCCTGGCCTTCCGCCTCGGCCTTCCATTCCCAGCCCCCCGCACTTGCAACTGCGCCGAGGAATTCGAAATCCTCGACACCAGGCTGCCCAACCACCTGCTTCGGTGTGGCACCGGGCACGGACGGACGGACACCCATAATGCTCTACGGGACGAGAGCATACGGATGGCCCGAGATGCTGACTTTATAGTCACCAAGGAGACCACCATCTACAGCCCCGTTGACGGCCACAAGGCCGACCTCGCCCTCCGAGACCGCAGTTCCGGAGCCGTCTGGATCTGTGACGTCACTGTCACAGATCCCATCAGCAGCCGGGACCCGGACGCTAGAAAAGGACGCGGATACATGGCCCGGGAGCAAGCCGACAAGAAAATCTCCCATTACCGAAATCGGGCTCCGTATGTCGGATTTTTCCCACTTGCAGTCGAGACATACGGCTGCCCCTGCGCCGAGGTCCCTACCTTCCTGAAGCTACTGGCTGACACAGGGGCCAGGAGACTTTTCAATGCGGACCCCAGCTCCTACCAGGCAGCGAAACTGCTCCACCAGTTCCGCCAACGCTGGTCAGTGACGCTGCAACGGGCACAGGCCTTGGCTTACCTGGGCAAAGTTAATGAAGCCTCCCCTGCCCCCCACACCCCAGTGGGCACCCATGACGCCGACATGGCCCCTGGGGACTGCTTTGCCATAGCAGAGCCCCTCGGGGAGCTCGAGTAGATTCGAGCCCTTAACCGTGCACGTACCTTGACTTGCTGCCCCTTGCTTGCCTAGCCTGTACTCAGTTTTCCCAAACAATAAACGGACCGCTTGAGACATGAACACGTGAGACGTGAACACTTGAGACATGAACACGTGAGACGTGAACACTTGAGCCCGGGCAGTGTGGAGATTGTGGCTCAAGGAGGAGCTCTTATGGCACATCCTGACAAGCCAGTCGAAGGTAGGATGAGCGGCACCTGCGCGGTCACGGGCCACGATGAATTCATCAAGCGCCAATTGGTGACAGGGAAGAGAACATGCAGGATTTACGCCCGACCTGCAGGCTGTAAACAGCACTGTTGAAGTAGGTGGGGCGGCTGACAAGTAGACATGAGCAAAGAGGCGAGGAAATCCTCGCCTCGGAATTTCGAGTTTCGAGGAGAGGTTTTTCCGGAATATCCTCGGCAAGGATTCCTCGCCTCGACTCGTCGAGGACTCGAACCTTTCCTCAGGGTTTTTAGTTGAGGAATGTTTTTCCTCGTGATAATTTTGACCCTCACAGGACGCCACTTTTCCCAGCGAGGCAAGTATTCCTCGCCCGGGGGATGGGGGGGGGGAGGGGGGGGGGGGGGGGGGGGTTTGGTTTAGGGTTGAGCAAACTACCCGACCGGGTCGGGTACCCGGTACCCGGACCCGCTTTTAGGGCGGGTCGGGTATTTGAAATCCTGTAAAATACCCGGCGGGTCGGGTCCGGGTTACCCGGGCGGGTATTTGATACCCGCTACCCGAATTTCTACCCGACGACGCGGGTAGCGGGTACCCGCCGGGTCGGGTATTACATACCCGAGTTCGGGTAAGTACCCGAAGTCGGGTCGGGTATACCCGACCCGAAATCGGGTCGCGCTGCTACCCGTCGGCAGCAGCGCGACCTAAATTGCGGGGGGTTGGAAATTTCGACCATTTGGTCGAAATTTCCAACCCAACTTTCCAGATCTAGTTTCGTTTCGTCCCTACCATAGATGCGCCACCTTAATACAGCACCCGCATTAGTCTAAACACTCCCCGCATCCTAAACGTGTTCTCCCAACGTTACTTAGGGTTTAGGTAACACAAAACGGGGGGGAGAACTTGGTTGCGTGTGGGAGTTAGGGTTTTGGAGATCTAGAGTTACACGAACTATTCGCCCACTCGAAATCCTTGCCGTAGCGAATAGTTTAGGGTTCGGAACTGTCCCATCATGCAATTCTACGACGGTGACGGGCGTCCCGTCCCTTTCGGGGGCGGGAGGGTTGAGGGTGGCGGGCTCCAGAGCGGTGCCATTCCTGGAGCATCTCTGACAGGCCTCCCTCTCCCTAGCGGCCGCCAGAGTTTTGCATTGGCGAGCGGTGTCCGTGCGGATGAGGGGGGAGAGGACGATGACTTCCTGGAAGAGGTGGAGGCGGGCGATGCAGGAGGGGGGGAGCATGGGGCAACCCATGGGGGGGGGAACGGTGGGCAGGGTGGTGGAGGGGGGGGGGGGGGGCGAGGGTGACCAGGAGTGGCATCCCAATGCGGAGGAAGAGGTGGATGAGGTGTCAGGAGATGGACCGGACAAGGGGAGGGGGAGGGGAAGGGGGAGGGGAAGGGGGAGGGGGAGGGCGAGGGGGAGGGGCAGGGGAAGGGGGAGAGGGAGGGGAAGAGGTCGCGGCCGTGGTGGACCTGGTGGGGGGAGGGCAGGGGCGATTGGTGCCGGCAGTGGCAGTAATAGTGCGGGGGAGCTGGAGGTCGGTGGTGGGGATGCAGCGCGCTTTGGGGATGCTGAGGGCGTGGGGGAGGGGGGTCATGCGGAGTGTGGTACGCCTGCGCCGGGGCGGCCTGTCATCCCACGTGGGGGGGGAGGGGGCACGGGTGGACAGCATAAGCGGTCGCGAGCGAGCGACAGCTCTCAGGTGACAGTCGGTTATTGGGGTACTGTCCCTGGGCTTATGCAGGGGATGTTCTTTCAGCCAGAGGGGGAGGATGGGGCGCGATGCTGCAAGGTATGCGAGGTGCCGATCGGTTGGGGTGAGAGCAGCACTGGTTCGGCGTGGAAGCACATGCGCTCGTTCCACATGCCTCACCTACAGATCTGGTATCGCCTATTCACTGATCCCAACAAGCAGCCGGGGTTGGAGTTTCCGGCGAAGGGGTACCCGGGGGTTCCAGGCGGACCAGACCCGTGGGAGCACGCTGACGCATACCCCGACCTCCAGAGTGCGGGCACGGGCGGTTCGGGTGCGAGTGTCGATGCGGGTCAACGGCAGATCCCTCAGTTCTTCGGTCGTCACGTCACGCAGGAGCGTCTGCGCCACGCTCTCATCGAGCTGTTCGCAGACGCGGCCCTTCCGTTTCGCCTGGTCGACCGCCCCTCGGTAAGAACTGACAGAGACAAGTTTCTAAGCACATGCGCTCGTTCACATCTGCGCATTTTCAACCTCCCACGTGTCGTTATGGATTACCACCCCGACCATGTATAGCGGCACTTCTGCACACGTCCACCTACTCCCCCCTCCCCCTCCCCTGCCCTCCCTTCCCCAGTTCCGCCGCTACACCCGCCTCCTCAATCCTCCCGCTGCAGAAATGCTCGGCTCCCGTTTCCGCCTCGCTCGCGACATGCTCGTGCAGAGCGAAGCCGCGCGTGAGCGCCAGCTGCAGGACATTGTCGGCGATGGTGCGGCAGGGAAGGTCTCCCTCACCACGGACATTTGGTCCAGCCCGGCGCAAGATGCTTTCCTTGCCGTCACAGCGCACTGGATCACGACAGACTTTCAGCTGCGTCAGGCGCTGCTAGAGTTTGAGGAGATTCAGGGATCGCACACCGGGGTGCTAATTGCAGAGACATTGGAGAAAGTCATACTGGATTGGGGGCTGAAGGACTCTGTGCTGGGCATCACGACGGACAATGCCGAAAACAACATCAAGGCACTCAAGATACTGACTGGCGACCCGGAGACCGAGGACGCCCGCAACCCACCAGTGTTGAACCCCGGATTCTTCTTCAGGTGTGTGGTGCATGACATGCCATGACGTCCCATGCCATGCCATGCCATGCCATGACATGACATGCCATGCCATGCCATGCCATGCCATGCCATGCCATGACATGCCATGACATGCCTTGACATGACATGACATGCCATGCCATGCCATGACATGCCATGCCATGCCATGCCATGCCATGACATGCCATGACATGCCATGACATGCCATGCCATGCCATGACATGACATGCCATGACATGCCTTGATATGACATGACATGCCATGACATGCCATGCCATGCCATGACATGCCATGACATGCCATGCCATGCCATGCCATGCCATGCCATGACATGCCATGACATGCCTTGACATGACATGACATGCCATGACATGCCATGACATGCCATGCCATGCCATGCCATGACATGCCTTGACATGACATGACATGACATGACATGACATGCCATGCCATGCCATGCCATGCCATGCCATGACATGCCATGACATGATATGCCATGCATTGACATGCCATGACATGACATGCCATGACATGACATGCCATGCCATGACATGCCTTGACATGACATGACATGACATGACATGCCATGCCATGCCATGCCATGCCATGCCATGCCACGCCATGCCTTGACATGCCATGCCATGCCATGCCATGCCATGCCATGCCATACCATGTCGTGCCATGCAATGGACTTTCTCCCTTCAGGTGTCTGGCGCACATTCTGAACCTCGCGGTCCAGAAGGCACTTGGTGTCCCAGCAGTCCTCGAGCCGCTCAAGCGTATGCGGGAGATTGCGTCGTTCATTGGGTGGAGCACGACGCGCTCGGACGCGTTCGAGGACGAGCAGCTGCGACTGGCGGGTCAGGGCGGCCACGTTCTCCGCCTCATTAGCGACACCCCTACGCGGTGGGGGTCGTCCTTTGAGATGGTGGAGCGCTTCCTGAAGCTGAAAGATCCTATCTTGCTGTACTTCTCAGGACTCGAGGTATGGTTCCCAATCTACTGGGTTGCCATAATTCGCGTGCATGTTTTTATTCCATTCGGAAATGCTGACAGTCTCCCAGGTCCGCCCATGCGTATTACCCTCCCCAAATATGAGTTTCCCCCTCTGCTACTGCGTGTTCCTCTGAATCCCCCATTCCACAGTCGGCACGTGACAAGCGGATGCGCGAACAGGCTGCGCGTGTCCGCCTCGCGGACGCGCATTGGGACGCTCTGAGGGTTCTGGTGGAATTCCTCAAGCCCTTCCATGACATCACTACTGCGGCAGAGGGGTCGTTGTACCCCACTGCCGCAGCAGTGGTGCCGCAGTACAACCTGCTAATGGATGAGCTTGAGCGCCAATACCACGACCCAAGTACCGGGGACCTGTGCAAGTTGTTGTCGGAGGCAGCTCTAAAGGTACTGAAGAAGTATGTGTACGGCATCAGCATGGAGCTGGCAGTGGCGACATTTTTGGATCCCAGGTTCAAGCAGCTGTACTTCCAGCTCGAACGGTGGGAGGGGGCCCACCCTGAGCTAGCGGGAGAGGCCGCTGGGGGGCGTAGGGCGGTGCGCGACGTCACATTGGAGCAGGTGGTGACATGGGTCAGGGCGCGCTTGCAGTCTTACCTGGACGAGCAGAGCAGGCGTGCGGTGGACGGGGGCCAGGAGGGGACGAGCACAGGTGGAGCGCGGGACGGGGGGGGGAGGAGTGTTGCCAGGGCCCGAGGTGGGGGGCGCTTGTTTGACATGCTCGGCTCGGCAATGGCAGAGGTTGAGGCGAGAACGGGAGTGGCCGCGCCGAACGAGGTTCAGAGGTACCTGCAGGAGGCGCGCTTGGACATGGACGGGTGTCCGCTGCAATGGTGGCGCACGCGCTCGTCGTACCCGGGGTTGCAGGCGATGGCACGAGACTACCTTGCCATCCCTGCAACCTCGGCACCGAGCGAGCGGGCGTTCAGCCAGGGGCGGAACGTGGTCACCTGGCAGCGTCACCGCCTGAGCACTGCTCAGGTGCGTGCATCCATGACTCTCAAGTCATGGATGGCACAGCGCGCCGACGGCAGCCTCCCACTGGCGACGTTGGATCGGGCCATGGGGGGGCTGTGCCTTGAGGGTGACGACGAGGGGTTGTGAGGCGTGGGTACAGGGTTAGCCCCTATGAACAGTTTTTCCTGTGACGTACATTCGTGTCCTTGCTTGTGCTATGCTCGGACCCAGCATTGAGCTCTAGGGCCATGCAGACATGGCATAATGATTGTTTAGTGATTGTGAACATAGGTAGATTGAAATGTGTGCACTTTATTCTTAGTAGGTTCCTCTGCATCCAATGAATACCAACCCCGTGCAAGCAATCAAGTTAGGTGTAGCGTGGTGGTGACAACAAACCCCCTGAAATGCGTGGGAAAAATTTTATCCATGACAATGTTGCTGTCTCAACCCTAGGAGACAATTAGACGAAAAACATAAAACTAAATTTGTAAAAAAAGAAACTTGTTTAGGCCTTCATGAAAGGGCGGGTATTGAATTACCCGCCTTTGAGCTATGCCGGGTCGGGTATACCCGGACCCGCCAGGCGGGTAATGAAATACCCGCCTAAAAAAACCGGGTCCGGGTAAGGGTCCTGGGCATATTACCCGACCCGGACCCGAAATTACCCGACCCGAAATTACCCGACCCGAAGTCGGGTATAGCAAAACCGGGTCGGGTCGGGTAATTACCCGGTTTTGCTCATGCCTAGTTTGGTTAATGAAGCGGGAGCAGCGATGTCCAAAACAGGACGACAGGATACATTGTTCTGGGCACAAGTGCCCCTAGACACCACACATACAGCCCCCCCTCCCCCCCCCCCCCCCCCCCCCCACCCGGGCGAGGAATCCTCGCATCGGGTCGAGGATTTTTTCCTAGAGGCAAGGAAAAAAATCCTTACCGGTAAAAGTGGGGGCTCGAGGAGGATTTTTTTGAAAAAAAAATTGTTGACGCGGATTCCTCAACCCGCCTTATTTGAGGGGCGAGGAGTAGATCCTCGGGTCCTCGCCCCGCCCCGTGCCCATGCCTATTGACAAGGAATTGGAGTGGCGAAATAGCGTTCACGAGAATCGGCCCTTGCTAATATTTTTGCTTGGACCTCTCGAAAATTAGCAAGAGCGCCAAGGTTTGTGCCCATTCTTTTGGCAGGTGGCCATTTTGCAGGAGTGCCAAGTTTTTTCTCCACTGCAAGTTTGTTATTTCGACCCGCAACCCAGGGTATGGGGCACGGTGACAAATGACCATTCAACTATTCACCTATCGCCATGCCTCTGCCCTTTGCGCCACCAAGTCGACAACATTGCTGTGCGGAATCGCTATCCTATAACATTGGGGACGGCCCTCTCTCGATACTTGGAGAGGCTATCGCTCTGCCAGGTCTGTCTTGGCAGCAGCTTGCATCAGTTGGCGGAGGTATGGAAGCTTGGCGCGAGCTTCCCTGTAACAAAGTGCTCAAGGTGAATCACTTTGAGAAAAAGGACTTGCAACCTGCCGGTCGAGCTTTAAGCAAAGACGAGAGGTGGAGTTTGCGGGAGCTATGTTATGTGGACAAGAGTAGAATGACGGGCATGGGACGGGCTAGCCAGACCGTAGAATCGGCCCCGTTTCCGGCCCTTGGCCGAGCAACGACAGGCCAAGCTGCCCGCCGACTGGGCATGAGCAAATGAGTCGTGTTATGCCTTGGCTCAACCTGGATCAGACGAATTGACGGAGTAGACTATGAGCCATGTAAAAGTCATGTAGCACCAACCATATGGGCTCACTCACAGGTCGGTCAAGTTTTGGAGGTTACCAATTGTCCCTGGAAGCGGGCCAAACAGGATGTTTATTGAGAGATCCCTGCATTTCCATAAATTAGGAATGTCAAAAGTAGAAAATACAGGTTTGTGAGAATCAGAGTGGAGTGAAACCTTAGTCACCTCTAGGCACACAGAAAGTGCAAAGAAGCGAGAGGGGGGCTGCCAACTGCACTCAGTTTACGCGAACGGGCATAAATAGTTTGAGCGTTGTCAATGTTAAGTGGCCCTTTGCAACAACAAGAAATCCCATTTTCCATGTCGGCTACAAGGGAACTAGCTCGGGAGATGCGCATTTATGTGGCTTGCACCTTGGTGCCTTTGGTTTATCTTTTTTAGGGTTCATGGGCTTTCATGAGTCTCTTTCAAGGTTTATGGGCTTTTTTTGCTCATGCCATACATGAGATAGAACTCATGGCAAGACCTGCATTGCATAGCTGAACTGAAGGCGTGCATTAGGGTTGAGCAAAAACGGGTATTTACCCTACCCAAACCGGTTTTGCAATACCCGACTTCCGGTAGGGTATTTTCGGGTCGGGTACGGGTTGGGTAACATGCCCAGGACCCTTGCCCAGAGCCATCCTTAGGGGGCGGACAAAACAATACCCGCTTGGCGGGTCCGGGTATACGGTATACCCGACCCGGTAATGGTAAAAAACAGGTGTAGGGTACTCTGATTGTCCCTTGTTTGCCATGGTTGGGTCTGTCCAGGAGTGCGGGTGGGTAGCAACAATAGACATGGGCAGCATGCCGAGCCTGGCTCGACTCGGCTCGACTCGACCTCGAGCCAGGTAAAAGTCGAGCCAAGCCGACTCGACTCGACCCGAGCCGGCTGCCCCAAAATAGTTGGCTCGACTCGGGGGTTCAGGGTCGAGCCAAGGGTCGGCTCGACCTTGGCTCGGCTCGGCTTGACTCGCCAAAAGGATTTTCGTCTTCCATTGCGGTCGAATTTTGACCCCCCACTGGCAAGCCGTGCGCTTCAGGAGTCGAGCCAAATTCGAGCCAAAGTCGAGCCGGCTCGACTTTGGCTCGCCATGAAATTTGCGACGAGTCGAGCCGAGCCGCGTGGCTCGACCGGCTCGATTCGGCTCGACTCGGGTCGAGCCGGCCAAAAAAAAATCCCGGCTCGACTCGCCAAAAAGGCGAGTCGAGTCGAGCCAGGCTCGGCATGCTGCCCATGTCTAAGCCCAATATAAGCATGGCTTACAACATTCGCAGATTTGAGAGCTCAGTCATGGAGTCGGGAATTGTGCCCCTCAACCAGTTTTTGCTAAGTTGCCTGATGAGGGAGAGTTGCAGGGCATAGAAATGGCAATACTGGACTCATCATTTTCACAAGCGGAATTTCTTCTGAAAAACATCTTGGATTCCCACTCGCTTCTCATCTTCCGCGGTACCTACCTGCCTACCTGTAGGAACATTTTTTACGATACGAATCTTTGAACGTGCCACGCAAGCATAGCGAACTGAAGACGGCTAGGATGTTCATGCTATTGTAGTGCACTAATGGAACATATTCCTGATAATTCTCGATGAGAAAAGGAACTAAAAATAAAGTTTTGAAGAAACACGAGGGTGGAAACTCAGAGGCTGAAGGTTCAAGACTGCATTATTATGTCACATTCTGAAAAATGTGACAACAGTTATGCGAACAAAATGATAAGGATTAAGATTCTCACAGATACGAGAATGTTCTCACAGCAAAGTGTGGCAGTGGCAGTATAGGGATTGATTCCAGATTGAGTTTGTTACACTACATGGTAGAGGGGAATCTTTAGAAGTGATTTTGAAAGCTTGTAACATCCTTGCGGTAAGTCCATGGAGAATGCATAGGGCATCCTCTGAGTGAACTGTGAAAATAGGGTTGAGCAAACTACCCGCCCGGGTCGGGTACCCGGTACCCGGACCCGCTTTTAGGGCGGGTCGGGTATCGGAAATCCTGAAAATTACCCGGCGGGTCGGGTCCGGGTTACCCGGGCCGGGTATCAATACCCGCTACCCGAAATGCTACCCGACGTGTCGGGTAACGGGTACCCGACCCGGGCGGGTAAATAATACCCGAGTTCGGGTATTACACCTACACATGGGCGTAAGTCGCGCTGTGTTTTAGGTTTTGCGGCAAAACGGTTTTGGAGGTCAGGGGGAACGAGTTTCTCATTTGAGAGTCGCTTTTTCAGAAACCCTACCTAGCATAGCCCAACCTGAGGATGTCCACTAGTAGGTGGCGGGTAGTATTACCCGCTTTTCAGGGTAACCAGGTCGGGTATACCCGGACCCGCCAGGCGGGTATTGTATTACCCGTCCCCTTAAGGCCGGGTCCGGGTAAGGGTCCTGGGCATATTACCCGACCCGGACCCGACCCGAAAATACCCGACCCGAGGTCGGGTAATGCAAAACCGGGTCGGGTCGGGTAATTACCCGGTTTTGCTCAAGTCACAGTGAAAAGTTGCAATAAGAAAGCTATACTATTGTTTGCTAAGAATGACTAGTCAGGTATGTGAATGTGGTTTGCATGTGAATGAAAGTCAAGTGGCGCTTACACGTGGAAAATGAAGGATTGCAGAGAAGTAAAATGTCACCATACTCACAAGTATGACAGGCTGCGCAGGCGTCCAATAGTGGATGGAATTTCTCCCATCAAGCCAGTATACCTCAGATCCCTGATGCAGTCAGACAAGCATGACATGGGTGAGGAGTTTTTAGAAGGGGCGAGTGGTAACAAGGAAGCATGGAGGAGGGATGGTTACAAGTACGAGTAGCTTATACAATTAGCCCAAGGGAGGGCCTAGCCCGTTCCGCCATGCATCACGAGCCACGGGGCCCCCTTGAGGCCGGCCCAGCCCGAGACTGGCACTGTCTGACCCATGCAGGTAGACATGGGCAAAGCGCGATTGCGATTTAAATCGCATCGCGTCTGGGGGCGATTTCTGCTTTTGCGATGATGTATAAAATCGAATTGCACGAGTTTTCAAATTCAAGAATGGAAATCGCATATCACTTAATTTGTGCAATTGTTTTAAAAGCCGAACAAAAAACATAGTAAAATAGCGCGATGCGATTTTAAATCGCAAATTTCGCCGACCCTCCTCTAAACTGGGTCTCCTGGTGACGCGTATACGTTCTACGTCTGGTGATGCCTCGCTCACGTTCATGCCTCTGGCACGGACAAGCTCGCTGCCTGCAGTGTCCTCTGTGTCTTCCTTGGTTTCCCCCTAGACTAGTCTGACTGCCACTTTTACCACCCGCAGTCTCACCGCTTCCTTCACTCGCGTGACGTCACTTTCAACGAGTCTGTCTCCTTCTACCTCCACTTTCCCCATCGAGGTCTCCTGGTTTCCCCGCCCCTGTTCCTGGTTCCCCCTCCCCCGGTAGCCCGTGCTCCCCTCCCTCCCCGTCCTGCCCCATCTGGTGTGTCTCACGTCACTCCCCTCCCGTCGGTTGTCCCGGTTGAGGAGT